AAGGTAAAGCCCAAAACACTGACAGAAATATGACGTATTTTAGAGGGAAATTTCACAGGGCTAAAAACAGTGAGAAACCGACACACATACTTGTGGAAATTATAACTGTTTTTTAAGAAAGTTTCTTGGGCTCCCCAAAAAAGAGAATGGACTGCACTGGGTAAGAAAATTACAGTCTTGACTGGAGAAATGAAAAGAATGCTAATAAGCTAACTATAGAATGCATATAAATTGTATTTAAAGTATAAATTATACTACTTTGCAGTAATTAGTATAAATTGGAATGTATATAAACCTATTATAATAATATGACTATTGTGATGGTGAATTATTTATAATAGCAATATTATTTGTAAAGAACAAGAAATACATATAAGTAATTGTCATTATAGATTATTACAAATGATAGGTGTGAAAGTTGTAAAGAACTCAACACAAGATCTGCAGCCAGCAATGTAAAGAGTGGTACAGATTCTAAGGGTTTTTAACATCTATTTGAAAGAAACAAAAAATCCTAACTATCCCGTAGATCTAGTCTTAAGTCTTAAGAATATTTGACTTGTCAATTGCAATGCAAAAGAAACACAGATGTTCAGTGAATTCATCTTTTCTTTTTTTGGGGGAAAAAATAAAAGCAGATAATAGTATTGTGTTCCAGGATGGCAATGAAATACTTCCCAGTACGATAGGAACTTCAGAACGCACAATGCTAGCAGCTGAACTTAAACAATTTTAAATTAGCAGGTCTGGATAACTTGCATCCTTCAACTTGCAGCCTTGTTTTTTTCAATCAGTTAACCTTGAAATGCTGCCAAAGTTTCAGAAAACTGAAAGACCACTCGTGTGCTGGGTTGTATTGTTTTGGTTTCATTTGTAAAGTTAAACAAAACAGCCTAGCCTTATAATATATATAATTTATATAAGCCATATATATATATTTAGTATTTATATAAGGCTGTGATCCTTATACTAATCCTAATCAAAAGCTGATAGTAATGTCATCAATGCTAGTTGACACAGGTGGATGGAAATTGTAACTTAGAAAAGTTTGCAAGTTTGGTGGATAAAGGTGGCAATGTTATAAAGAAATAATAGTTACATTTCTGTAGGTTATTTGACTTGGTAACTCATGACATTTCAGCTAAGGACATTTTTGCAAGATTAACACAGCATGGATTAAAGCATTAAATGTTGACCAGCTGGTCTCAGAATGTGATTTTAACAGGGCGTCTTTGTACAGGAGTTATTTACCCAAGGATTTAAGCATGGAGCAGCTTTAGCAATTTCCGAGCTTTATCAGTGATATAAAAGAAAACGTGTCATCACTGCTCTAGCTTCCAGGTAACACCCTAATGAGAGGAGTGCAAGTACTAAGACAGGGCACTGCTACCGAGCAGACCCCAAACTAAACATATTTTGATGTAGTCCACACAAAATGATGTATGTAGGAGCAGGAATGCAGGCCCTGCAGGTCTCTCCTTCCTTTAAGGCTTGTGGGGATCAGATCCAGCTGGTCAGCTAAGCACGAGGTCCCACTGCCGCCAGGGTTGAGCAGAGAAAGGTGTCCCTTCGCTTTCTCCAGGCTTTGGCCACTATCCCGCCCAAAACTCTTGTGACCAAGCACAGGAAACATGAGCTGGATCAAACCGGTATGATACAACCTTGCAGGAGAATGAGAGAGTAGCTACCAAGGGTTCGCTATCAAAATGAGGATGTTATCGAGTGAAATTCGTTTGTATCTCTGCAGAAATAATCAACCACACACAGAGAGCAGGATGGGCAGGGGCACAGAAAAGCCTTGGGAAATTGCAGGTGTCCTGCAGGGCCGGCTGACGCAGGCCGGGCCCTCAAACTTTACATCGTGCTGCTGGTTAATATCCCCGCTGTGATCCAAGCTCGTGGTTTTAAACGGCGCTTAGGAGCAGTCCAGGGGACATCTGCTGGTAGATCAGGCTGCAGCACAACTAGCTCCTGCAATTCCTACAGGGAACCTTCCCCAAAGTGCCCCATTTTCACTTCTTGGAGATGTTCAAAGCGGCCTGGACACAGTCCTGGGCCACGTGCTCTAGGCGACCCTGCATGAGCAGCAGTGACAAGGCCTAGATGCTGAAGCTAAAGAAACTCCGACTGTGTATCCTCCACACATTTTTACAACAGATAAATGTCTTTGTCAAATTATTCCAAAAACTGTGGTGGGATTTCTCAGGAAAAAAAAAAACAAAAACAAAAAAACCCCTCTCTTGTCGCTCCCAAAAGAGGGGCCCCTACTTCAAACACTAATTAAGTGAAGGGAAGTCCTAGAGTGGATGTTAGGCAAGAGGTCAAGCTCTGTGGTCACAACAGTTTCTTCTGGCCTTGTAGCCTATAAATAGGTATAGCCACTACGGAAAAGAAGTGATTAGCTTTATCTTGGGCTTTCCCAAAATACTGTGGAAAAAACAATAGGAATGTAGAAAGATCAGGAATGGTCACTTTGCAGCAATTATGCCTAGTTCTGTATTTCTACTGAAGAGACCAAAGCATTTTGTGATCTGATTCCAAAACACCTCTGAAGCTCTTCCTTCTTGCTACCAGAGCACAGCCAAACCTAACATACCTATTTTCAAGGCTGCTAACAAGTTAACATTTCATAATTATAGCAAAGGTTGGGTTTGAAGTCCGTGGGCGTTTTGCTGTTCTCATTTATTGGGTGGATCAAACCACAGTATCTTTGCAAAGGAAGGACCTACCTCAAATTGTCCGTTGGATTTTAAGTGAAACTTAGGGGATTTAAGCCACACAGAGTCTGGAAAGAGCACGCATTTCTCGTGGAGGGAGGAAGCGTGCAAATTTGTTATATTTAGGCAACATTTGAGAAGAATTCTACCTAATAAAGTGGATCATTAAATAGCCACAGTATAAACCAACAACAGACAAGAACAATTATTCTGTATGTGTGTTGCCTCAATAGACCTTCCAGATATTCTGTTTGCCACAGGAATAGTCAGTGGAATAAGAAAATACTTCATACAGCGTGTATCCTCCTACAACCTTTTTTTTTTTTCATGAGAGAAAAAAAAAACATGCCAACTACTTCTGTCTTTAATTTTCTGGGAGCAGAATCAAGGGAATGCATGATTCATGGGAGGCAGAAGCACCGATTTCTTGGTCTGTTGACTTTAAAAATATATAAACACCAAAAGAGCATTCAAGTGAAATCACTGGAATAGTTTTGCCACCCAAAGGACTCCCCACTCCACCAAATACAAAGGTATTTCAAATAGAACAGAACTATGCACAATGTCTGAGTACTTGAGCCCTTACACCAAAAACTTGAATAAATCTTGAATTCTGGACCATAAAGAAAAATGACTCCACAGCCTGCTGGCCAGGACAGCTACCTGGGCGGTATACTTGGATACTTGGCCTTCTGCTCAAAAAAAATGTTTAAGTATTTCCTTAAAAGAGGAGCACTGCCAACAGACATGCCTGGAGTATCCCATGAGTGTATTTAGAGCTCATTTGTGGGAGAACAAAAAAGAAATCCTCCCAAAACTTTAGTTTCCCACACTGTGCTCGAGTGCCCTGCACACTGAAAATTAGCATCAAGTGGGAACTGCTACGACAGGAGAAGTGCCATAAATGTCAAGTTTGTGGATCTAGCTCAGAAAAACACCCAATTCCTCCCAAATAAAACACCGCGATTTCAAATCAACCCCACAGATAATTCTGAACCAGCTGTTCCTGCCGGCTAAGGGTGTCTTTGAAAGGGCTGTCCAGGGCCCCATGGAAGCCTCCCAGACTCCTGGAAGCAGGAAACTTCTCCTGTTGGCAACAGCTACTGCTGGCTCCTGCTTGGTCTTTATGCTAAATTCAGTGATAACATTGCCACAGATGTTACATCAAGATGATACAGGGTCGGGCCTTCAGATAACCATAAAAGCTCCATGGGAAGAACTGCGCATCGAGGGCCAGCAGTGCCTAGTAAAGAGGCACCTCCAAAGATCTTCAAATTCACATTAAAAACAAAGTCACACCCCACAAATAAATATGGTTCACATTAGATCCACGCCTCTATAGGCTAAATATAATGTAATTATTACTGGAAACAAAGGCAAAGGAGAAGCGGAAGAGATGTACGGATTCCTGAGCAACACTCTTCCTGCCTGAGGTATGAAAGGGCCTATGTTCTCAAATGAGAAACAATCCCCATTTCAGGCTGTTCCACAAAGAAAAAGCACTTTTTTGAACATATCTTTGTTTCAAACCCCTGTTACAAGGTGTTCACCTACAGACAGTCCTGAAAAAGTGAAGTATCTTGATTCTGACTTTTGATGGGTCGAGGCTACTAAGCAAAAAACCCAAAACATTCTAATTACACTTAATTCTACTTTTTTTTTCCCCCCACTTTTAAATCAAATCTCTCTGGTTCTCTTTGGGTACAAGATGGGACAATGAGTATATGCTTTAAAATACTGCCACGTGGAACCACAAGACTTTGATATGTAGCTTTAAAGCTGCCCAAAACATTGCAGAAGAAAAAAAACACACACAACACAGTCTACTTAAGAAAATCTTTTAACTTTTATTACTTTCTGGGGATTGTTTTCTCAGACATTTAAGTTTTAAGCCAGCTATGCCATTTTGCCTATAGATTTCTCTCCTACAGAAAAAAAAAGGTAAATTTCTGGAGTGAAAAGCTCGGGCAGGTACCACCGCCCTACAAACCCTCCCTCATGAACCAAGATGGTGGAGGCTTTTGGCCGGGTTTCCCGCCTGGATTGGTGCCAGAGGTGCCCTCTTGTGGAGAGGCTCCACCCTGGAAATCACCCGCTCCTCTCAACGGGTCACGTTTTACCAGTCCAGGGTACCTGCTGTCACCCACCGGCTTTCCTCTTCCTGCATTTCTTTCTCTTCGTCCCCTCCTTGGATGAACGATGCTGGAGACCCTCGAACAGATCTCCCTTATGGGCTGTGGGAACGGTGAAGGAGCTGTCCATAAGTTTCCTGAAGAGACCGTGATGACTACTGAGGTATGGACTATGGGTGTGTGGAACCAGTTCCTTCAGCCAGGCTAAATTCAGCAGTTTTAGCACTATTCCCCTTTCACATAGCAGGGGAAAACTGCCCTAAAGAAAGCACTGCATAAAATTCTGCTAGTGACAAAGAAAAGGGGCAAAATGGGAGTCCAACAAAACGAGCAAAATTTCTGCACCCTGCTCACTACTGGCATTTTCTTAACCTTTGTCTCAGCTACAGCAACACTGAAATAGTCCTGAAGATGTTTTCAGGCAGTTAAAAAAAAAAATTTCCTTCTTGTAACATCCTTTTGACTGTTGCTACATCCATATGTTATATACATGCTGTCCTTTCCCATACTTTGAAAGAATATTGTTATTTATTAAAACTGGTCATTTCAAAATGCTGAAAATATGAGTGTCACGGATCATAAACACCCACTTAGCACTATTGCCGTGACCTCAGATCTTCAAGGAACACAGCAACTCCACTGGAGTTATGAAAGCTGAGCCTATCAAACTGCATTGGGTCTGAACCCAGGATAAGGAAAACCAAACAGTATGATACCTCACGACTAGTAAATGTAGGGGAGTGGTGTTTTTCTTCTCTTCAATACTTTAGTATTAGCCTTCCGGCACATGAGATACATGCAAATTAACTGGCTCTCCAAAACACACAGGGTTGATGGGACTATCAAATGATCTTTCATTAGAAGTACAAGATTAAAAAACAAGTATATTAAAGCAGTGAGTGTGGCAGATAGAGTGACCGAGGACTTCTGCACTCTGCAAGACATGAAGAGGCTGCAGAATATGCAGCCTAAGTGCAACTCAATGAAACAGGAAGAGAGATGACAAAGAGAGGGCAGGGAGGAAATCTGCACGGACTGCTTCTCCTTGAGCTATGGGTGTGAGACATGACAAAGTAAACATGGTGTTTTCCAGATTCAGAGCACAGGTTAGTATCTCCTTCATCAGGTTCTGTCTAACTCAAAGTATGAACAATCCTCGTCCAAAAATTCAAGATGCTCTCTTAGAAACCCGTTCACAGGGAGGAGTTACTCTACACTGCTTTGTCCCCTACACCTCGGTGCACACTGAAGTCACATTTCTTATCGCTGCGGATGCATCTGTCTGCTTTGTTGCTCTAGACATAAATAAACCGCAACGGGAGTAAGCAGCAACCTACGTTCCGGGTGCTCATTTTCAGGGCAGACTACAGGGATATTCTTTCCACTTTCACTTGTGTGCAGTCTTCACCTCACTTCTCTTGAAGCAAGAAATTACAGGGAACATCATATAAAAATATGTATGAGCTAGCCAGTTTAAGACAGTAACATAATTCTTAGTGATTCCTATTTCTTCTCCGTTCCACCTAAGACCATTCAGCATTCGAAATACCTGAGAATTGCAAAACATTACAATGTTCATCACTGTTGCAGTTGATTAACAAAGTAAAATTAGTAAAATCAGTTGTTGGAGAGGCTCCCCACTCTGCTCTCGTGCTGCACTGTCACATTAAAGATGTCCACAAACTACATTAGCTCTGTGTCATAAATAAATTTGGGTAGAATCTCAAGCCTTCCACCGAATCATCTCTGCAAAGATGCCCCATCTTCTCAGCTAGCAGCAGCCTGCAGAAAGGAAAAGATTTATCTTATTACTTGGGGACAACACGGTAATTGAAGATCTATTAAACAGTACAATTATTACTTACCTTTCTTTGGCTAAGAGAACGGACATCCCCACAAGCTTAGCAAACTCATCAGCTGTGAGAGAACCCTTTTCAGATACCTACCAAAAAGAACAAAGACACAAATAAACAAAGTGTGGCATGAAAATAACAATGAGGTTGTTCTCTCAGATCCTGAATATCAGTTCTTTAGTTTGTTAACACAGCTGTCGCTGTGAACTGACAAAGTGGTAGCAAAACACTTGTGAAGGAAACTGGTTTGCTTGCATTTTAGAAAAATTACAAGTAATTATAAGCAACTTCTCTCAAAAATACCTTTTAAGTATGCTGGGAAACCTTCCAAGTATACAAATGGGATACAGAAAAGAGTTAAATCTGTAAAAACATAACATATGTTCTTTGCATTTTTTTAGACGATATCTCAGGAGAAATGAATGGAAAAATTAAAATAGCTCACAGTCAGCAGAGTACTGTTGCAATCAGTATTTACACAGCCCCACTGCACTAAATGATTCTGTAAACAATGAAGCTTGAAAGAGGAAACAAAAGGCAGCAGGGCAGGAGGGGTCATCGATTTAGAAAATTTCAGTGATCTCAGAGGGAGGTGGAGAATTTGAGTTAGTTTAAAATATCCCACTGCCTGTAATCATTTCAGAAACCTTAGTACTCCACCCTAATTACTGCATACTAGTGGGATCAGCAAAAGACACCGTCGCATGCAGACAAGGCCACAGACAGGTTCCCTCTCAGACTCAAAACTTTGGTCCTGTTGTCTCCAACACACTGGTTTCCACATGCAAACATGAAGCCTCCTCACGGTGGTAGGACATCTACATGCTTGGAATATTAGCTATTATATATAGTCACTGAAATTCCACGTGAGCATATGCTTTGTTACTCTACAAGTAATAATTCTGCTCTTTCTCCATTGCTTCAGATTTAAGCAGACTTTCAAATCCAGACGTAGCTGCCGTTTCCTGCTTCCCACATAACTGCCTTGGGAGGGGTTTACTTTGTGTCATTCCCAACAATCTCTGCTTAGTCGTTTCCGTTGTACAGACTATTAGATTAAATTAGTCCTAACTTAAGATTGTATAAAGCTAAATAACTGAATGTGAGTACTGCAACCAGCAGCACAAACTAACACGGCATAGGGGTTATTACTTATGAATTTCCTTCCCAATCCATGGCTCTCACCAGGAGGGACTGCAGGTTCCTTTGACATCCATGGCATTTCCTGTCCTCACCAGCCGTTCAAAGCCACATCACTGCCCTGCCTGAAGCCCTGTGACTTCCTTTCATTTTTCCTCCAAGGTTCAAGTTACTGTACATTTAACACTAAATATATGGCTGATTTTGGCCACAGTTCTGATCTCATCTTCCTTTTCCCTTATGCGCTAACCCTCCTCACTCAAAGCTGCTCCCTTATGTTTTACTATGAAGTCCAAGCAGGATATTATGAAAATAGGAAAAAAAGAAAAAAAAGACAAATTCTGGATGGACGGAATCAGCCTTTAGGCAGCTTACTGAAAAACAAAAACTAACATCCTGTTGAAAAGCACATAGGAAAATGTGTCAAATAATGGCAGAGCAGTACTCTGAAGAATCAACAGGTAGGTAAGACCAACAAGTTCTATCCCGCTGAGCAATCTGTAGTACTTTTTGGGGGGATTAATCTAGCTTCTCTCTACAGCAGTACTCCCCAACAGAGGGCTCTTGAAAGCAGTAAACTCAGTACAGTGTTTCACACAGTGTCCTATTATCATATGGAATCAACCCAAGCCAAACTGCCTGTATCAACATTTAAGGGTTACTTTCACTACTTTCCACCACACTGTGTAAACGGTTTGAAGTCCATTTTTGTTAAATTAAGTGCCTAATACCATGCTATCAAATTTACCCCACAGTGCAAAAGTTCTGAAGGAAAGTTGAGGGAGGCTTGAAAAGAGATGAAAAACTCATTTACTCCTTAAGGAGAAAGCCACGACGAAGATGACTGCCTGAGCAGCACTCCGACAAATGCTATTTAAGTACAATATATTACTCTTTGAAGATTTTGTGAAATATATTGTATTTTAAAACCTCAAAAGGAAATCCATTGCCACATATTTTTACACCTAATGTGTTTAAATTTCTCCAGCATGGTCAGAACATTGAAGGAAATGAATGTTCACATACCGTCTCTAAAGCAGAAGCTACCATTTCCTCTTCATTGTGAGACTGGAGTTCAATCACCATCACACCACTGTCGAATATCCGAAGTCTAAAATCAAAAGAGAGATTCAAAGTAACTAAAACCTCTGTGCACATCATTTAAGTACGCATTTTTAATATGCACATACATATAAATGTATTGTTAAAGAAAAAAAACAAGATGAACTTAAAAGTATCTTCAAAATCTAAAGAGAACGAAAGGACCAGGGCAGAGGCCTAGGCTTACACAGACACCTACCCCAGTCTGAAAAACAAGCTCTAGCAATAGCTGGGTGAAAGAAAACAGCAGCTTACATTTGCCACATCTTTAGCTTAGTGTTTCATGAAAGCAGTACTCTCTGCTTGGGAATAGGCACAATTTCTCATTCTAACTATGGACGGCTGATTTTTAAAGGAAGCTCTGTGAAACTAGTTCTGTGGGATGGTACATCCGTGGACAGGAAAAGTCCAAGGATTTTGTCTTCTGCACCTTTCTTCTGTTCAGCTGCTTTATATTCTTTGAAAAGATCGCCAAGTCACTAAGTTATTCATCTTAATATTTCTGTTTTAGCTTTAAACTTCCACAGGAATTGACAGAGCAGAAAAGATAACTGTAGCAATGAGGTATGTAAATGAGATCTGTAAAGTGAAAAAAGTTTTTGTACCCTGAAAAGAAAGCTAAAACCTTGCATTTTTGAAATTAATGGCATTACATGTCTAAACAGGCAAGAGGCATGCAAATAGCTTGATTTATTATTACTAAGTTATAAGCCAAAATCTTTTTAAACACATCTAAGTTTGGGTCTCCAGAGTGTCTGCATCAGAGCTGGTCACCTCAAACTCCTTTAAAATTGTATGCAGACCTGGTTTATGTCAACGATTTGGTTCATCTTAGTTTAAAACATCTGGTCAGATGAAGCCTTAGGCATTGACCTTAGATGCAGACTACTACAATTCACATAGGAGAAGTGTAGCAAGAGGATTCTCTCTCCCTTTGTGAAAGTTCTTTAGTATCCGAAATGGAACAAATGCTTCCTTAGTTGGCCAAAATACCATAAAGAAGAACTTAGTAAAGGGTACGAAATGCTAAAAAACATCAGGAATAGTTCCAGCTGAAAGCTCTCAATCAAAAGAATTCATGCCTAAATTTTAAATATCAAACTTAGAGGAAAATGTATAGGAAGCAAAAAGAATGCTGTCTTCCTAGTAGACAAAATGAAACATGGTTATAGGTTTGTATTTTAGTGGAGAGTGGATGTTCTTGCGAGGAACAGATTTCTAAATTTCTTTTTAGACTTTATTTCTAAAATCTACTGCATGTAACACATCGAGTCATCCAAGCACTGTAGCCTGGCCTGTGAGTGCCATGATACAGAAAAGCATCAGCACCTCAGATCTCTCACCTCAGGGGTAGTTTCAGTGACTCCAACATCTTGCAAGCATTTACTAAATCTTCTGGTGACAGCAACTATGAAAATAATCACAGTTATTCACAATTTACATACGAAGCATACATTATTCTACAAAAACAAGCATTTGTTATAACTGCAGCCATAGGATGCACCAGATTAAATAAGTCTCTTCATTTCTTTCATTATATCCTCCAGTCTGCTCTCTTGGCTGTTACACTCTTTGTTTTCTTAGCATATTTTCTACAATACTTCGTGTCATGTCTACAGAGAGAATTGCCGTATTTTGGCAACAACTTTTCATCATTCTCTACTATTTTCTGTCCTTTCAGTTTTCTTTCTAGATAAGCATGGATTTTTTTATCCTTTATACAAAAGGTTTTCGCATCTCTGTTACAATGACAAAAGCAGTATGTATTATGACAAGCTATGGAGGAATGTAAACATTATGTGGAAGACAAAGAAGGGGAAAAGGAGAAAATTCCAAATTTTAATAAAAGAATGATTTCTTTGTGCTATTAGGGCTGAGGGAGGAAATGGCAGAGATTACTCTCATGCTTCCTCTTTAATTAGCTTATCAATTAGCTTATCAAGCAAGTACATTTTGAAAATATTGGAGACTATCAGCTTCTCACCTCTAATCCTCGTGCCCTATTTACCAGGCAGTAGACCTCAGTAAGAGACATGATCCCTCCCCGCTCCTGTGTAAGCACAAGACTGGTAAGAGAAACAGTATTAAACTTGTCATCACAGTATCTCACTTGCAATGACCTGATGAACAGGTAAAATAGAGGAGTTAAATTATGGGCTTTAATGCAAAAACCTACCCAGATAACACCAAGCCTTCCTAGCATTAGAGGAAAGCTACTGGATGGTATCTTTCTCTAATAATTTCAAAATGCAAAACTCTGATTCTATATCCAAAGACTGAATTGTTTTATGCTAAAGTAAAGAATAAATTATAGAAACAACAAATTTCTATACTTTGGTAGCTGGGACCTGTGATGCCATTATATTCTAAAGAAATTTTTGTGCTTAATATTTAAAAGTTCTAATTCAAAAAGAGACTATTTATTCTTAAGAGGCAAAAAAAAAAGAATCATAAAAGTTGAATATGAACTGCATTGCTAAATCTGAGATTTAAGGAAAGACGCAGTACTACAGCCAAAACACATTTATATCAAAATTGAGCAACACACAAAAAAATGCTTATTTAGGTGCTTTACCTCTAATGGAGCCTGCAGAATTCCAGCCAGTTGCTTTGCCAGTTGCATATGGTAATGTGTCCCAGATCCATATGTTTCCCTGGTAACTGGATTAGCTATTCCCATACTCAGCAGATAGGATTTGAACTTAACAGTCTAAAAACAAACAAACAAACAAACAAACGTGTCTTTGTTTTTAAGAGGTCAAAATAATAAAAGGTAACATGTTTAACTAAAACATGTTTACTTTAACTAAAAGTAAAGCAGAAAAATAGAAACAACCATTCCGAAGTGTTCTTTACTGACAGGAAATATGTTAGAGAGCTTTTTGCTTTGCTCTGCACAGAAATGTTCCTGTTGACTCTAAAAACAAAGTTCATTTACCTCATCCTCAGTGATGTCACCTTGTTTTTCTTTAATTTTATTAGCTATTGACTTGGATAACTCCACCATTTCCTTAGCCTATCAAGAAAGACAAATGTGTAAGTCAACTTTCAGCTTAACAGAGACAGTGTGCTCCAAAGTGAGGAAAGTCCCCCAAGGGGGTGCCATACCTTGTCCATTAGTTTACTAAGGTCCTCGAAAGCCTGCAAGGAGAAGCAGATGTTGCAGTTAAATGCAGTGCCATCATTTGGGATCACAGACACAGCCAACTGCCTCTGTCCAGTACCAGGGTCTTCCTAAGAGCTCCTTTCTCTTTACAGGAGTGCATTGCAATTTATAATTTTACAAGAATGGCTTATACATGAATAACCAGTTTTATACACAAAAATTAGACAAGCCAGGAACACCAAAGAATGAAGCATCTGATAATTGCACATGTTTCTAGTATGCAAACATCAGATCAATATCATTTACAAAGTTTACATAACAGGAAAGAAATAATGAGATATTAAGACCCTGAATACATTATTTCCACCAACTTTTTATGCTCTCCTAAAATATGGGGGAGGGTTTCTTGGTGAGGCCATCAGGTCTCCCTCATTGAGCCTGCCCTCTCTGAGGGTCATCTACTGCTTCCTGGCAGCAAGAAGGCAAGGGAAGGGTGCCTCCTGACAGGGCAGTTTTACTTTATTCATTGCTGAATTGGCGAGACTGTGGTTAATTTAAAATGAGCAAGGACAAGGGCATCTGCTTTTAGATAATATGATCAACTGAAAAGACAAAAAGCCTGGAAATGAGTGGCAACGTCTTTTCATCTAAATCTCTCATATGTTGGTACTATTGATGCTACCACCACAAGGAAGAAAAAAAAAGTTAAAATTTAGAATGAAATAAGGTCCAAGAGCTTCATTATTAGATCTGCTAAAGCAAGGGAAAAAATAATTTGCACAAAATATTGTATTTCTATTCTATTGCAAGTGAGTTAACAAATCTATTAAAGTGATTAAAAAGCAGCTCTCATTTCTCTTAAACTTCACAAAACAAATTCAACCCTCTCCCCAGCTTCCCAAACCCATTACAAGATGCCTAAGTGGACTGTCAATCTTTCTGAATAACCTTTTTTTTTTTTTTTTTTGGCATGAGAAAAATTCCAGAGCCTTCCCAGGTAAAGCTGGAGAGCAGCACCCAGTCCTCTCCATATCCACAAATAAAGGTAGTTCAGTTAGAATAATGCTTCTGGCCCCAGGTAGCTCAGGATACCCTGGCTAATCCTATAGCAGTAACAGTACTGCCCCTTATACAGTTTAACAGCCTCCTAGCTGATTCCAACTAATCCACCATTAGAAATTCACATTTTAACCTATTTCCAGCAGCAAGACTAATTGTATCCACCTATACTTAGGCACTTGACTTAGAAGCTTATCAGTCCAGGGCTCTGCGTGCAAAGAACAGCAAAAGATGTGGGCACAGAGTTTACTTCTCATCCACATTCCCCCCTAATGGTGCCAGTGTCTCTGCACAGGCTGGAGAAGTTTCTGCTGACTTGACTTCAAAAGCCTGGCACTTGGGCATGGATGCAAAATTAAGTGGGACAAAGCTGGATCCACATGAGGAAGGGAAAATATACCACTTCTTAAAAATGACCTGCCAAAATCAGAACCAAAGCTTTTCTTTTAAAACATTTGTCTTTACTTCCTAATCTGCCGTATTTCCTAATTTACAATAGATTCCCCAATCTCCGGTGTAAATCAACGTGCTTCTACTGTACTTTCATATTGTATCAACAAACACACATTTTCTATGGAGGCTTTACCCACCTTATTTCTAACCTTAACAGCACAGAGGAAAACATGATTCCGAAAGGAACCCTTGATGGAGCCACAGAAACAGGGTGCTTCGTGTGACTCCTCCTCCCTGCCGGACTCACCAGGGCAGGCTGGAAACAAAGGGACCCGCACACACCTACCAGGAACTTCCTCCCATAAACAAAGGGCTCTTATCAGCGCTGAACAGCACATGCAGGAAGCCTTTGCCTGGAAGCCAGGGCACTGTTTTTTTTTAAAAATTAAGTCATTTATAACATTCAAAGCTGAGGGAAGGCAGGATTGCACTAGTCCCAGGTTTCCTCTGTTCATACGACAGGCAGAAATGGGTTTCTTTCACTCTCTAACGGAATTACTACAGAAAAAATAAGCAGACAATACCTTTTGAGCTGTGACTACAATACACATGTAACTACAATACCTCTTAAACTACACATGCAGAACTTCATTCATTATATTCTTAATAAAGAGAAAAAAAAGTTTAAGCCTAGCAGACCTAGCAGTAACTGGACAGCTGTCTAAAAAACTGCCATAAATATCTTGTAAATTAGAAGGGCAAATACCTTTTTTATCGTGGTGTTCTGAATCCCATAAAGCTCTACCCTAAGAATTGATCCATTGTGGTTAATTTGTGACTAGATTGTCTGATACTAATCTCTTACCACAACAGAAACTGACAATTTTTGAGGGTATCACAGCTATCACCCAGATAAATCCAACAGATACAGAGAAAGTAGATAAAGAAGGAACTTTACATGTCCTGAAAAAGCTAAAAGTTAAACAAATAAATAACTGCAAATCAGACATCCATAAGCATCCATAATTCATAGTCTCAGTGTCAGCAATGAATAATTTCAGCTGCCCCAAAAGAAAGTGAGAATGAATGTAAATAGCTCAGGCAGGTGGTTGCCTTGAAACTTGAACAGTTATTTACCTCGGAAATGTTTTTGTCAGTCTCTTTTCTTTTTTCCTCTAACTTCCTTTCGATGCCTACAATTCCTACAGCCCTTATTCTTCCTGCCTGCAAAAGAAAATAATGTAAGGAATCAACATAGGAAATGTTAAATTTTCTCATGTGCCTCACTATGAAAAAGCTTGTAGTGGAAAACAGAAAAAAAATGGTATCATGCACACAATAAGTCTTTTTTTTTTTTAAGCTTTTTTTAAAATCAGTGTCAAACAGTAAAAACATAAATGCAACGCAAGTATGAATTTGCTGTAACATACACAGATAACCTAATTAATATATTGAAGCTATTAATATAATTATGCTTGCTCTAGAGTAAGCATTCCAGCCCACCTCAACTAACATCTTGTGAGTGGATGTGAATAGTTACATTAGAGAGCACTGGCAACGCCTGAACGTATCTGAACACAAACACCGGAGCAAATTTAGCCTGAAAAAGCAAAGTTAGAGCAACACAGAGCTACACCTAATTAGTAACACAGTGCTACAGCCTAATCCACCTTGTGATAAGCGTGGAGGTACCTAAGTCTGCGATGGAGAATTTTGGTCTGCAGCTGCACGTGTTTTAGAAAGGCTGGTACCTAAGTGGAATTGGTGCCATCCTCAATTCTCTTCCTAAAAGCCTGGCACTGGTGGCAGTGAATTATGGTAACTTAAGAATGAGAACAGGAGGTAACGCATCTTCGTGCGGGGTATCGGCTTTCCCCTCAGTCCATCACATGCAAGGGTGTCTACAAGGACTGTATTTATGATGGAGAACATACATGATTTGCCACTGAGACAGCTTTAAAGCTTCCTAGTTCAGAGGAAAGTGCCACAAAGATACATGCAAACAATAACCACATCTTACCCAGAATGTATAACCTGTATTATGGAATATAACCTATATAATCTATATAGAAAGAAGCATGCAGGTAGATTAAAGGAAGTAAAATCTACAAGTCTGTAGATAAGGTTAAAGGAGGGAAAACCTACAAGTATGCAGAATGATTAAAGGAGGCAGTCTAAGATACAACAAAAGACTCTTTACATTGAGGTATACACTGAAGTATACACTGAAGAGAGACACATACAGGTTCCAAATATGTCATATATTGGACTTCCAGACACAGAAAAAAAGAGAAAAAAATCACTGGAAGACCAAAAAATCTTACATCTCAGGTCTATAGTGCTGAACAAAATCACAGACCAACACACACACACATATATACCCACACAAGCACAACTACATAAAGAATTGAGCTCATTTGTATTTCATTCAAGCCTGAAAACACTCAAGGAAGAGAGATCACTCATTCTATATACAGTGAAAACTGCAGTTTCTGCAATAACTAATTTATGCCAGTGTAGAAATGGGCAAAGTAAAGCTGACTTCCTGTATGTCCCTACCAGGCTGGTTAAAGAGGTGACGCGGTATCTGGAGAGGCACAAAGTGGAAACAAGAGATTGAACATTCAGCACTTCAGCTAATCAAAGTGACACGGGACATAAGGGAGAATGTCCGGAGCTCTGTACCCACCTGGGGGCTCTTGTTAACCTGCATGGTCTGAGCAGCAGGCAGGTTCTCCCATCTCCTCTGTGTGATTTCTTCTGATAATCTCCTATAGAACTGCAAATGTTAAAAAGAGACAATAGAGATACTGGGAGTTGTGCAGAGTATCTCCAGGTATTATTAATGTCTTGGTGACAGATAAAGAAAATTTATTAACCAAGAAAGCACAGTAAGACCGATGCTTTCACGGTGTAACTTTCACTTACATCTTCAAAAATACCTTAGACAAGCCAAATCTGCTACTAGTTAAGCTTGCATTAATACTCCTATAATACACTTTTTTTCTTCCAGACATTCAAAGTCTTCCAAGAATACCAAAGTTAAAAATGTCCAGGTTTAGTTATTGCTCAAAGATAGGCTTTTACAGGGTAAGAAAACTGATCAATGCAATTACTATTGATCTGTTAACTCAACAGTGTAAAGACAACCAGAGTAGATGACACACTCTTAGCTGCTTTATGGTAATACTAAAAGCTAGCATTGACTAATAAGCTAGTAATAAGTATATTCCACTGAACAACATCCCGAAAAGTCAGTTCCACACTCACAGGAAAGTATTCTGAAGCAATGAACCAAAGATCTGGAGTAGTCGGTATGTTGGGCAACCAATAAGCAGAGTGCATGGTACACAGCTCACCTCAATCTGCCCATGTTCTTTGAAAGAAAGTTTGATGTAGGAATATTTACTGCTTTGGAATGGACCGGGCTCTTTGTTTGAAGAAGCAGGATGAAGATGAACGACTATTTTGGCACTAAAATAAATACAAGGAAGGAAAAGAAGAGACTTTGTAAAAATATTGTTTTAGGAATCAGATAAAGTCAATCATTTAATTAAAATATCCATTAACTTTATTCACATATGGATTACAATACATTAAAACTGCTTTACATTTGTGCATAACGTTAAGTATTTTGTCTCAATTTTAAAACATATAAAATGACTGTAACCTCTGAAACAGCAGTATCTCACAGCTTTAAAAAGTATACATTATCAACTCTTAAGAAATAAATTTAATATATTTTAACATTTTAAGCAACAATTTATGAAAATGTTAGCTGAGCTACAAACTAATTGTCAGTCAGCGCAGTTGTTTTGGCTTTCAACTTACAATAACTACTGCCAAAATACATTATCTTTGTCACAGGAAAAGAAAAAGTCTCAATATTATGTTTAACCTATTCCACTTGTAAATGTCACTAGTGAACAGTGTACGTGAACTTGTCCAAAACTAACATTCAAAGGTAACGTGCATGGACACAGCAGTCTAAAATGACACCTACCAGAAAAACAAGTCTTCAGACAATATTATTTTAGCACTATAACAGACCACTATCACAGCATGACTCCAGGTCCATCATTTCTATTTCATTTTTACAGACTTTTTGTTTCCAGGGGTCTTTTAGTTAGTTGACTTCTCCAGCACCAGTGAATTCTCTGCTGGACACCTCCAGGATATTACTGTATTCTACCAACCTGACCATAGGCTGCAAGCAGATTTGCCCAGTTAAATTCCTTCTATTTTTCTGCGAATTATTTATTTATTTATTCATTTTGCACACTTAATCATAATGATTTATCTAGGTGAGTGGAAACACTTCAGTTCTTTCTAACCTTGGCTGCCGTATCCAAGCTAAAAATTCATCAGATGGTCACAGAGAGTTATTTAATCAATGAAAATCAAATGCAAAGGGCCATCTAGAGCATGTTTTTTAGTACTTATAATATGGTTTAACAAATCAAATCAAATCCAACACACAATTTCTGTTGTGACTCTCCTATGAGTTTGATTGTTTTATCTTTAGATGATATCAGACTTCTGTGGCCATTGACTAGGAAATCTGGATTACATGCTGAACTTAACCATAAGTTAATGTGTAATCTTGGTTACATCGCCTCATTTGTATGCCTAAATTATGCAGCTGAGAAAGTCAGAAGTATCACTTTTACCTTTTGCCTATCCCAGCTGCCTGCTCTTCAATGAAGACAATCTGAGACAGAGGAATAGCAATGCAGCATTCCTAGAAAAAAAAAAAACAATGCAAACACAAGAGAAATTAAAACAATTTTCCTTAAGATTCTGTTACACCAAATGTTTTCTTTTTTCAAAGACAACACTGATTTTTACATGTGCTGCCAGAGGTACTCTGCATAAGGTACTCTGGTAACAGTGGAAATAATTTATAAGAGAGAAGTTGAAACACAACATTTAACACAATCTTGAAGCTGAGCTTCAGAACAAACGAAAGATCTTTACGTCACCGTGTCAGTTTTAGAACCTCCCACATGAGATTCATAAAGAATGTAGATGCTTTAGGATCTACGTTCAAAATTTAGACCCCAAATTTTCCAGACTCCTGCAGTATATCCCTGTCAGTGCACAATGTTTGCAGGTCCTTAAAATTTTGCCACTCGCATTACTTGGGGAGCTAAAAATCATACCCCAAGACCCCCAATCTTGTCAGTGCGAGTAACTAACAAGTTAGATTATTCTGTGAGTGGTGATACACTGATTAGGAACTCCTTCATCTATGTCAACACCAAGGGCTTGATCCAGCAGTTGATGCATTTTGACACACATTTACAGTACTCCTTTAGGAGCAGGGATGTGATATTTCCCGGGAAATGACTTTTGGTGTGGAGGCACTTCAGCTATCCTTGTGGAAATGCAATCCAGTTGAGAAAATTCAGAATTTGTCATCTGCACAGGCTCTGTGTGAACTTTGGCTTCCATAGCCACATTTTCTTAAAGGTTGTGTCCAAAATAAGCATGATCCAGCCTGGTTCGGGGGACTTTCCTTCCATTACAGCTTTAAAATGTCGTGTCAATCTACATACACGGCTTCTTAAACTTTCAACAACATCCTGACTGCATGCATGAAGTTTGGAGAAAGAAGCTACCAAATTGTGTGTCGTAGAAAGGGAAATTCTATATATCCATCTATCTCTCCTCATCTCAACATCATCATTTTATTAAAGCAGATTTGGGTCACAGAACGTGCCTTGTACATAATTTTATTTCCACTATGAGTCGAGAAATGGACTACGTTTGTACACAAAAATGAAAGAAAAATATCCTCCCTATATATTTTTTTTCACTGTAAGCTGCTCATTGTTTATCATAGTATGAAATTACAAAATCTAAAATTGAATAACACGGGAGAAAGGCACACTTACGTGGTTCTTCTGATCTCTCCAGATTAGTCTGTGTGTGCTGAGCAGTAAGACCCCACTATCAAACCTCCCCTAAATGTGAAAAATAGAAACAATTAACAACAAATGTAACCAGTACACTGTATAAATATTGATTCTGGAAACATTACACCTTACCACAGCACAGCAGTTTCAGTAAGCCAGTATTTTGAGAACACTGTTTTTGTCAGCTAAATGAAGTTTATGAAACAGTAGAGAAATCTACAAAAGGATTAGATATATTTATAAACTTCCTTTTCAACTGCATAACCTTTCCCCCAGGAAAATATGAAGGATCCTCTCCTCCATGCCAAGGTAAACTTTAAATACTTTAAAATATTATATTTAAGATGGGCTATTGGCTTTATTTGCAGAAAACAAAAGTGAGTTATACAAAAAAAACTGAGAATTGTGAAATCTTCTAACCTATCAATCAGGAACGTTTTTCTACCCGTTTTATTGCGGAGAAGTTTTTCATTTGAAACCAATCGCTATTTGGAAAGCCTGTGTTAGCAAATCCCTTCCTCACTTGCAAAACCGCGGTGAGTTTTTAAAGCTTTTTATAGGACTACGGAACTACTCCGGTGCAGAAAAGGGAGGGCTGGCCCATCAGGGAAAAGCGGCAATCAGTGGGAATGCTCGGAGAGATGGGGAGGAAGGGCACGGAGGAAGGGAAGGGGCAGGGCCCGACCGGGCGGCGGGCAGGGCGCTTCCCCGGGGCCGCGCGAGGCGCGTCCCGCTGGTGCCCACACCCCGCGGCCTCCCCTGCTCCCACGGACCCGGAATCTCCTTCCAGGGATCTCCCGGGGAGCGGGACCCTGCCAGGCCCGGGGGCAGAGCCGACCGGGGCGCCTCCCGGCGCGACGCTGCCCCAAGGCCGCCCCACGACCCCCACGTGCCCGCGACCCCCACGGCCGGGCCCGACGCCGAGCAGGGTCCCCGCACGCAGGCGGCAGCGCTGCTCGCAGCCCCGCGTCACTCCGCACACGAGGCCCCTCTCCCCCCTGCCCAAGCCCCGCACCGGGGGCACACCCCACGCCCCACACAGGCCCCACGGCGCCCTCCCGCCCGCGCCGCCGCTCACAGCGCGCAGCCCGGGCCCTGTCCCCGCCGCCCGCCGGCGGATCCCCCCGGCGCTGCCGCCGCGCCGCGAGCGCCGCCACCTTCTCCTCGCCGTCGTAGACGCGCACGCCGCGCTGCTGGATCACCAGCGTCTCCTCCAGCTCCAGCAGCCCGCTGCTCCACACGAACCTGTCCATGGCGGCCGCCGCGCAGGCCGCGCCCGCCCGCGCGGCGCCATCTAGCGGCGCCCTCACGGCCCGCCGCCATCTTGCGGCTCAGCAGGCGCGGAGCAGTCACGGCGGCGCCGCGCGGAAATAACCCCAAACACGCCCTGATTCCTGCGGGTTTTAACTTTTCCCGTGTATTTCCGTTCGCCCCGGCAGGCGGCCGGGCGGCAGCTCGGTGGCTTCTCCA